AATACTATAGGAAAGTTGAAGAATGGATGGGGCAGGACTGGTTACAAGTTGCTGATTACTGATGTTGGGTATGGGGAGTTCACTATATTATTTTCTATATTTTATCTGCGTTCAAATTTCTTTAAAAAACAAAGCAAAATAATAAGCGGATGTTGAATTCTCTCAGGCAGCCCGTGAAAGAGCTACTAGCAGGGGAAGGAAAGTAACATAACTATGAAGCGTTGGATTCTGGCGTGAACCACGTGATTCTAATCCCCTGACACTTAGAAGCTGTAAGATTTTTGACCCCTGTGCCTCAGTTTCTTTACCAGTAAAACAGGAAAAGTAACAACAGTGCGCATGTCGAAGGGTATTTGTGAGGGTTCGGTTAGCTAATCTATGAAATTCCGTGTTTGATGAATAGTAAAGTTCTTGATCAATATAAGCTAAGATCAATAATATTATTCTCTGGGGCACAAAAGCTGAAGTAACGTGCTCAAGTTCACCAGGCTGGGAAGAGCCAAGTCAGCTTTTGTTTGGAAGCCCTGGACATCCAGGTGACCCATCCCACACACCTTTCTAGAGACCGGCTGCCCACTGCCCAGCTCACCTGGCTGGTGTGATCAGCACCCATGTGCAGCAACATTTGGACACAAGCCAGCCTGTCTCGGGCCTGGGTACTCAGTACCCGGAAACATAGGTCAGGTGGGTGCACGGCAACGTTGAGGGCCAGGATGGCTGTGTGGAGAGGGGTGAGGCCTGCGGAACAGAGACAGTGAGGGCTCTGCATCTGGAGCACCCACCCCACCCAAGCCCACCTGCCACACCCACGCCGTCGAGCACTCAACTTACCCTCGAAGTCTCTGGCTTCCAGGTCGACCTGAACCCCCGAGTTAATCACAGCCTGAGGAGGAGAAGGCAGAGGGCTGGATTAGTCTCCCCAGGCCTGCTAGCCCTGGAAGCCAGGATGTGAGCGACCAGTCCATCCCATTCACCCCACCGGCCAGCTGGCCATACCGAGAGGACTCCTGGGAGCCCATAGGTAGCAGCCACATGCAAGACAGAACGTCCCTGATGATCGGTGGCATTGGGCTCTGCTCCCAGGTTCAGTAGATCCTCCACAATCAGGGGCTGGTTGGCGGCAGCAGCCACCAGCAGAGGGGTCTGCAGGAGATAAGAAGGTTAGTCTGAGCCCAAGTCTCCTCCCCTCTGCAAACCAAGAATCCAGGTCCCCAGACCTTCTGCCTTCAAATCCAGTCCAGGCCCCTGGCCCTCACCTTGCCCTTATGCTCCCGAATGTCCAGACGTCTGTATACTTGGAGCATCTCAGCTGCGGCATACGCTGCCCAGCGCAGCCCTCGAGCCGCGAATAGGTGCAGGAGCCTGAGGACAGGTAGGGGGCAAGCAGTGAGCACAGCAGCCCCGCTAAGCCAGGAACATGCAGACCGCAATCCCCTATACTCACGTGTCTCCCTCCTCATCCTGGGCCAGCAGCTGTTGAGGCCCCAAAGCCAGCATGTGAGCACGGGCTGTGTCCAGGGATGGTCCGGTGGCCAGAGTAGGCAACGGTGGGGGTCCTGAAGGGAGTCCAGAACCTCTCCAGGATCCTGCCTGTGGCAGGGAAGGTTCTGCATAAAGCCGGGTATCCAGGGGGTCCTGAAGGATACATGTGGTGGGCAGACCCAGTCAGCTGAGAATTCCCTCTTCCTAACATACAGATGTACACAGAGTGCCAGGCAGAGTGGCTGGGTGCCCCGTCTGCACCAAGTGACCCTGGACCTTTGGGCCTCAGTTTTGCCCATCTGAAGAATGGGATCTTCATCCAGCATGAGGGCAACTGGGAATTTTAGGGGTCCTTCAGCATCCTATTCCCACTCTGTATCTCACCTCCATCCCCACAGAATATGGACACTGCCGCCCTGGGTCGGAGGGTGGGTAGAAGTCAGGAGTCAGGAAGCCTTCAGCAGCAGAAGCAGAGTAAGAGTAGGGGCTGTCTGTGTAGGCAGCATGCGTGTTGGGGTCCCAGTCTGGAAAGCCCGTGGTGGGAGCCAGGCTGCCAGGTCCAGAACCCACAGTCTCTTGGTGTACTGGGAAGCGAGAATGGCCTGTGTGTGAGAGGAGGGGCAGGGGCAGGCCTGGTTACCAGAGTTGGGGAAGTCCTGACCTAGACTGGAGGACCGGAGTGAGGGCCTGGAATCTCCCAAGGTACTGAGAGCTAGTACTTGTGGGACACCAAAGGGCTGGGACCCAGAATCCAGGGCACCAAGTGGTTGAAAGCTTGGACTTCTGCCACCTGAACTCCAGGGACACTGAGGGTTGAGCGCCTAGACTCTTGGAGCAACAAAAGGCTGCAAGCCTGGGCCCCTGGAACACGGAAGGACCTCATACATAGACTGGCGGGCTCCAGAGAATCTGGGAGATCAAGCTGCTACCGGGTCCCCAGCAAGAAAGAGGGTCTGGTCTGACTCCTAAGTTCCCCCAAAGTTCTAAGATTTAGAATTTCTGAGTCGGGGAAGAAAGCTGGGGCTGCGCCAGCTGAGGGGACCAGATGGGTTTCCAGACTTACCAGCCTCACTCTCATTCACAGATGGGGTCAGGGACTGGGCCGGGGGAGGTGGAAACTGTCCCTGGAGAGGCATAAACAAAAACGAACGAGGGTGAGTTTATGTGACACAGCCCTCAGCATCCAGCCCCAGCCCCGCATCTAAGTCAGGGCCGCACCCCTCTCCCGCTGAGGGCCCAGGGAGCCCTCAAGTCCCGGCCCAACAGCTTCACGGGGCTTCACGGGCCTTACCGGTACCCCCCCAGCCTCAGGCTGCTGCTGACGGCGCCTCTGTTCTTCCAGGAGCTTCTTCACGGTCTGCGACGGGCAGTGGCTGCGTTCACCCCGGCTCACTACGGGGGGACGGGGCGGGGGGGGGGGGCAATCAGAGGTCCTCAAGTCACCCAACTCGGGCACCCTCCCTCGACCTCCTGCGCGGAAAAACTGGCAGGCTGACGCCACCCGAGGACTCCAGAGCCGTTCTTAGCTCTCAGGTGCAGCTTCCGCCTCCGCCGTTTCCTTCCCTTCGCTCCGCGCTTTCCCCTCTGAGCCAACTTTCCACCAGCGTCGTGGAAACTGGGGAAGGGGGAGGGGCGCGCCCCTCTGCAGCACCTCCCCCCCCCCCGCTTCCGTGAAAAATCCCAGCCCCCAGATCTCCCAGTCGCGAGGCCTGGGGGGCCGCCGGGAATGACGCCCTGGAGCCGCACGTGCAGCTTCCCCGCGTCGCCCTGCCCTGAAGCTGACCTTGACGCACTGTCCACGGGAACCAGGCGTCCGGTCCGGGTCCCCAGCCCCTCTCCCCAAGGGACGACGAGTCGACAGCCCGCTGGCTCACCCAAGTCCAGACCCCATCGCCCCCTCAGATCTAAGAGTCCAGGCCCACTCTGGGGAGCCCGAGCGCCTAGCACCCCTTGCCCCGGGACCCCGGAGTCCGGGCGCTCAGCCCCGCCCCCCCTTGCGCCCGGGAGCCCCGGTTTCCAGGAGCCTGGTCCGCAGCCCCCGGGGAGCCGAGGCCCTGAGCCCGCGCCCTCCCGAGCCCGGGTTCCGGCGGAGGAAGGGTTAAGCGGGGGAGGGCGGACTCGGAAACAGCCCAGACACGACGTGCTGACGTCGCGGCGCTCACGCAAGGGAATCTTCCATCCACCCTGCCCCTCCCCGCGGCGCGCCGCAGGTGTCCCGCTCCGAGCCCGGCGGGCGGCCAGGCGTGGAGCTCGCGGAATCCCCGCACGTGGGGAATTCCTGCTCGGCGCGGGGGCCCGGCGTGGGCGGAGACCCGGGAATTCCCGGCGCGGGGGCAGGGCCACGGTCGGCGCGGCCCGCGGCGGCCCGGCCTCACCCACGGCGACCCGCGGCCGGCTTTTAAGCCACCACGCCCCCAGGAGCGAGGGGTCCGGGCCGCCAGCCCCCTCCGCCCGCACCACCCGGGGACCGGGGCTCCCGGGCCTTTCACCCCACCCCCCGCCCGGACCCAGGGGTCCGAACCCGCGGGCCCCTCGCCCCCAGGAGCCCAGGCTTCCAGCCTCCCGGCCTCCCGGCCTCCCGGCCTCCATCACCACCCAGCAGTCCAGGCGCCCTGCGCCCCCTCCAAACGCCGCGTCCGCTCACTCTCAGCACCCAGGCTTGACGCTCCCCCCATCCCCCGGTTCTCGGGGGCGGACCCCCACACCCTGGCTCTCGAGGGGCCGCGCGCGCCTCACCTGCCCACCTCCCCATCTCCACTCACCCCTCGGGTTCCGTGGCGCGGATTGCGGGCCCCCAGGGCCGCGGCCTCGGCGCTGCGCCAGCCTCGCTCTTCCCCCGCGGAGCCGCCGCCGGGTCCCCGATCTAGGGTCGTGCCCCACGAGTTTTAAAACTGGGTCTCCGGCCCCGCCCAGTCAAGGGCAGGGCCCCGCCCACAGGCCCGGGAGTCCCCGCGTCGCGCTAGAACGGGTCCAGTCTCTGAATGGGCGGGGCTGACACTGAGGCCCCCACTCCTGAGCCTCCCTAGGACGAGGGGGGCACGACGGCGGGGGGCGTCTTTGGTTGGAGGGAGAAGCGGCCTGGGACAGAGGACACCTGAAGGAGGAGGGCGCTGGGGGCCTGGCCTTCTGGGTCTCTGTCTGTCCGAGGGGGTTCTGGAGGCTTCCATTTCTGGGGCCTGGGCTGGGAGCGGACAGTATTACTGAGTCCTGGGGCAAGAGGAGGCTGGGGTTCGGGACTTCCTGGTCCCGAGGGAGGCAAGAGTGACCTAGGTGAACTCAAATTTCTCCCTCTTCCCCACATCACTTTCTTTTCCAGAGGTCCGTTCTCGTCTATTCGTTCATCCTTAAGAATAGTTCATCACTGCAAGGGAGGTACTTTGCTGGGAGCCTCCGGGTGGCTGTGAACTAAGAACAGGAATTCCCAGCCCTCAGGCCAACTGCCATTCCAGGGGTGGCTGGTTCTCAGTTCCCATCTCCGGGACTATGTTAATCATTTCTCCCGGGCTTTCTTTCGAGACTTCTGCTCTCCTGGTTCTCCTCCCTCACAGGCTGTTCCTTCCCAGTTTCCCTGGCTGTTTCCACCCCTTCACCCATTCTTGGGGGCCAGGGGCACTCCTCTGCCTGTACTCACTTCCTTGGTGATCTCATCCAGTCTCGTGGCCTTAAATGCCATCCATAAGCCATCAACCCGAAAATGTACATCCTCCAGCCCAGGATTCACAGATGCAGCCGTGGTCATTCAGTTCTACAGGGAGATCTGTCGGCATTTCCAGTTCAGTGTCCCCAGACCTTGGCACTTTCCCCCTAAACCTCCTCGCCTCTCCCCTCCTTCTCCATCTTTTCAGTTGCTCAGTCCAGAAGCTTTGGTCATCCCAAATCCCTCTCTCTCAAACACACCCCATACCTACAAGATCAGTAAGTTTTGTTGGTTCCACCTCCTAAAGCTCTCCAGAACCTCCTCAGTGCCCACAGCCTGGTCCATCTGTCACCTTCCACCTGGACAATCACAGCAGCCTCCCTGGTCTCTGACCCTACCCCTAGTTCATCCCCAAAGGCAGTCACAGGGACCCACCACTTCTCCCCCTCCCACACCTTCACACAGGAAGCAGGTGGCCTTGCCACCAGCAGAGTGACATCCGCTATTGCTGCTTCTTTACTCCCCAACTGTTCCTCAGGACTTCTCTGGACCAAAGCCTCTTGCCAGACCCCTTCTAGCCTCAGCCTAGCATGGCCCCTTCCGGTGACATCCTGCTCCTGCTCCCAGGTGAAGCCAGTGGTTATGGGGCCTGGCAGGCAGAGGACTTATGAGAGGGGTGGCTTGGGTGGCATCTGAAGGGAGGAGTGCTGAGAGCAGGTCCTCTCAGCACCCCTCCTTTCTGGAGATCCGTTTTAGCTTCAGGACCTGGTTCTTTGGGGGAGAGAAGCTGAGTCTGGGGTACTTGCCTGTTCATCTCCCCTTCCCGCTGCCGGGTCTGTCTCTGTCGCTACTGCTGATTTTCTGTCTCTGCGTGTGTGTCTGGGAGCTCCCCTACCCATCTGGGCTCTTTCTCATTTGCTCTCTCCCGAATGGAGGTTACTTCTCAGGGCACCACCTTTTCCCTGCACCCTGTTTTGGGAACTGCCTCTCCCCTGCTAATCCACTTTCCCTCTTTTCACAGTGATTGCAGCTCTGGTGACCCCAGGTGAGAAATGAGCACGCCTTGCCCTCTGCCATGGCACTTCAGGTACTGCTTCCGTCCCTACAGGGTGGTCTGAGGGTCCTGGAACAGCCCCAGTGGCTCTCTAGCTCACCAGTTCACCTCTCACCAAATCAGAGCCCCCAGAGGATCTGGGGTCCTCTCTGGGTCGCCGTCTCACTGCCCGCATCACCAGATTGAAGCCCCAGGGACTCGACTACCCCTAGCCTTCATAGGGAGTCCCCACTATGCCCAAAGCACCTCGTATGTCTCTTTATGCTGGGGGCCCCCACCCACCTCCTCTTTCATCCCCCAAGTCACCCTTGGAGATCTCAAGACACACACACACACACACACACACACACACCCGCCAGGGACTTCATCTGCTCCCAGTGTCCAAAGTGCAGCCCTGAGGGTCTGGAACCTTCCTCAACTGCCCTCTCCCCTGGGCCCCACCCTCCAGGTTCCTGTTCCGGATGTGAGCCTGTCTCTCTGCCCCTGCTGGCAGGCCTCATGGCTGCCCATGCGGTGGTGTCGCTGCTAATCATTGCAGCAGTGTTTGTGTGTGCTTGCCCACGCCACAGGCCCACCCAAGGTGAGGACAGAGACAGGGTAGGGCCTGGAGGGAGAAGTGTCCCTAGGGAGGGGCCCCCCAGGGAGGGGCCCCCCAAGGGAAGCCCTAGAGGAGATGCTGGGGAAACCCTGGGGGCGGTGACTGGAGGGGAACTCCAGAGGAAACCCCTGAGGCAGGGGGTCCCCAGGAAGGTGGAGATGTGGGTGGGTGGTAGGTGGTCAGGCCTCATGCTTTCTCTCCCCCACCTCCAGAACATGACAAAATCTACATCAACATGCCTGGCAGGGGCTGACCCCCGTGTAAGTGAGACCTTGGACTTCTGACCCTCTGCTTCCTGTGTTGTGTGTGGCAGCACAGAAACACATTCCCCACTTTGGGGTGAAATAAAGCCATTGAAAATACCTCTGGTTCTAATTCTTCCTCAAAGAACCCCAGGGTCCCCAAAGCCTCCCTCCCATTTATCTGTTTCTGGGTGAATGACCCCCTCCTGAGCCCCACATATCCAAGCCCCCCTCAGCTGAAAGATCTGGGATGACTCAACAGACCTTTTATGTGCCACGTTTATTTGGGGGCAGTGGTGGAGAGAAATCTGACCTCTCAGAGAGGGCACTCTGTGGATCTTTATCTTGGTGGAAGTAGGAATAGGATGCAGGGTAGGTGTCAGGAATGAGTGGATCCAGGCATCAGGATGTTGACTGCCGTGGTTTAGGCTCATTTGTAATACGGCCTCTGTGTGTTGAGGTCACTATAGACATCTGACCTCTGACCTTGGAGCTCCTAATGGAGGGACAGGGTGGGAGTCATTAGTGGATGAGGCCCACTGAATAAACTTAAAACAAAATTCAGCCTTCTCCCAGTGGCCTATAAGGCTCCTAGCAGCTTCAACCTCGCAGCCACGGAAGAGATCTGGATTTTAATCAAGTACATTTAGTGTTTCCCTTTCTCCTCCACCTCATCATCATGCCTCAGCCTCAGGGCCTTTGCACATACTGTTCTCTCTGCCTGGAATACTGGTTTCCTAGATATTCCCGCGGATGGTTCCTTCTCCCCCTTCAAGTCGCAGCTCATGTCACTTCTCAGAGAAGCATTTAATGATTTTGTCATCACATTTCTCCCCCCCTCACCCACACCCCGCCCCCGTCACTGTCATATCAGCTTTATTTCTTCATGGTACCTCCCAAAATTATCTCAACTGTTCATTTGTCTATCTCCCCAACTAGGATGTAAACTCTGTTGCAGTGTAGGTGCTCAATAAATCCCACCAAAGGTTGAGTAAATGATAATCATGCTTTGCCCTAACATGTCACTGCCCCCAATAACCAAAAAGCTCCCTCATTTTCCTGGACCTCACAAGGCCAAACTCAAGATGCTTACACTTTACAAAGAGACTTTTTAATCCACAGGTGAGACAAAGCAAAGTTGGCTGCAAGTAAGTAAGAGACTTCACAGAACATGGCTCATATTTGGCGGGGCGGGGAGTGGGGAAACCTATGGCCCCAAGAGGCAGCCCTCAAACTGAATCCCTGAAATCCTACACGAATGACTGGCCCGGGTATATATCTTTATGGGAAGGGGGCTCTTTGGCTTCCCTTAGCTTCGCACAGGAGCCCATGACTCCCCAAAGTGTAGAAGGGCACTGACAGAGAGGCAAGAGATGGAAAGGTGCCTCTGTCTGCATAGTGGCATTTTTTTTTTTTTTTTAGAGAGAGAGAGAGCATGCACATGTGAGGATGGGGGCAAGAGGAGAATCTTTTTTTTTTAAGATTTATTTATTTTGGAGAGAGAGAGAGCACAAGCAGGGGGAGAGGGGGAGGGGCAGAAGGAGAGGGAGAGAGAGAATCCCAAGCAGACTCCCCACTGAGCAGGGAGCCAGACATTCCACCACCCTGAGACCACGACGACGACGACATGAGCCAAAATCAAGAGCCAGATGCTAATGGACTGAGCCACCCTAGGCATACCTGCATGGTAGTCCTTAAGAAGGGTTTCAAGATCACATGCACAGTTTTGTAAATTTTTGTGTGGGTTTTTCTGAGGAGTCTCTAGCTTTCATCAGCTTCTCAAAGGGATACAGGATCCCTCCTTCCAAAAAAGTCTAAAACTCCTCTCTTCAGAGTTACCGAATTGGGGCTGAAATCTGTTCTCTGCTCTTCTAAGAGCTCATCCCAGAAATCATCCTGTCCCGAACACTTCAGCGCTTGCCTTCTGGCAAAGGCCTATATGTGCCCTTGCGAACATAAAACCCCATGTTTTCTCACACATTGTAAGCTGAGCATAAGGCCATGATTGATCATTGAAAGCCGTTTTGGACAGATGCCCCGTTAATCTTTGAGGGTTGGCAATGTTGCTCAGAAAGTGGCTTTAGGGCTTTAGACCTAGGGTCTAGGTTCTAGAGGGACTGGGAAAGTATTTAAGACAGACACCCACAGGGTAGGAGTAACATGTGAGGAAGAGAAGCTGGTTTTCTCACCTGATAAGGCGACTCTGTCTCAGTGATGCGCTGTTTCCTGGTCACTGCTGGGGGATGGGGAGTAGAGCAGAGTGCAGAGACAGTTCAGGTGGTGAACTGGGACCATTTTGCTAATGCAAAATCAGCCCCTCCATCACCCACTTCGGATGGTTGTGACTTGAGACCTTCCTCCTCCCTCAGGGAGTCCCAGGCTATCCCTCGCCAGCCCCACTCACCTTCCACAGCCCCTCGTCCCCGAGGAAACATTCGGCCCAGGGAGTACACAGCCAAGGCAATGAGGAGGGTCAGCACCAGGTCCCCCAGCACGATCCCTGCCAGCACACCGGGACTCACCACAGGGCAGTTGCATCCTGAGAATGTGGCCCAAAGGTTTGGGGTGGTCAGTGGCAGTTGGGAATTGGGAGGTGTCAGCAGGGGAAGGTTCAGAGAGATTGGGGAACAGATAGAGGTGGGGAGATCTTCGGGAGGTAGGGAGGGAGACTGCAGAGTCTAGGCCTACCGTCCTGTGCCTGGATAGGGCTGAAACCTGAGGGGAGAAAAAGAAGGTAAATTGAGTCATGGGGCTGTGACAGGAGGGTGGGCACAGAAGGTGGGGAGGGTGGATCCTGAGAGCTAGGAAATGAGTGGAATTTTGTGTCTGGTGGGACCTGTGCGCCAGCATCAAGGCCACTGGACTGTGCTATTTCTACCCCGACTTGTCCTATTGCAACACCCGTACAGTCCCCTCCCCCCTGCTTCTACCAGAGGCCAAATCTTGGGGGCTCTGGCTCTGGGAGACAGACATAACTTTTGAGGGATGGGGATCTGCTTTCCCCCACCTCCCTTTTGGTTCTCTTTCTACCCTGTACCCCGCTCTGCCCCAAGCTGAACCCAGGGACTCAGGAGGCAGCTGTAGAAGCCCCCAACTCACCACCCATGCTCAGAAGGAGAGGCAGGAACAGGAGCCTGTTGGAAGGTCCAAGGACCCCCATGACACAGGCGACGCTGCTGGACGCCAGAGTCCAGGGGCCGGTGGGATGTGGTGTAGCGTCCAACCAAGTGAAGGAGGAAGTCTGAGGTGGGCGGTGGCAGGAGGGAGGAGGGGACAATACAGGAGGAGGGACGGAGACAGATAATGCCAGGAAGAATCAGGCCGAGACACCATGGGGGCCACGCTATAGCCTCTAAGGACTGGACATAAAAAGAAAAAGGCTACATGCACCAATCCACCCCTGAGCGGGGGTCAGCCATCAGTGCAACAGGACAGTCAGTGGCTATGACTGAAGCCAGCTTTTCCTCTTCCTGGCTTGAACAAGTCATTCAACCTCTCTGGGCCTCAGCTCCCTTACCTGTAAAATGGAAGAGTAAATTAGTACCTATTTTGCAGGAGCTTGTGAATTAATGTTTCTAGAACAGGGTCCAACACTCGTTAGCCTTTTATAAGCACTAGCTATAATTATTTGATAATCAGAACTTTGTGATATTTATAGGATATTGCAGAGAGCCATCGGGATATGGGTCCTAATAAGCTGCAGGCATTCTGTCCTACGGTGTCAACTCTTTCAACCCCCACACCCATCTGAGGTGGTTGCTCTTATCATCCCCGTTGTGCAGAAAGGTAAAGACATTGCCCAGGGGCACCGGGGTGGCTCAGTGGTTGAGCATCTGCCTTTGGGCTCAGGTCATGATCCCGGGGTTCTGGGATCGAGTTCTGCATCAGGCTCCTGTGGGGAGCCTGCTTCTCCCTCTGCCTGTGTCTCGGCCTCTCTCTGTGTCTCTCATGAATAAACAAGATCTTAAAAAAAAAAAAAAAGACACTTGGCAAGGTGACACAGCCAATAAAGGTGATAATGAAACCCAGGACCCAAGGACAGATATTTGACCCTTAGAGGGAAAGAAAAAAAGAACCAAGATGAAAGATTGGGAAGGAGAAAGAGAGAGACGGATAGACAGTGACGCTGATAAAACCCAGTACAGACACAGGGATCTGGGGTTTGGGGTGAGGCAAATGGGAGACAACGTGGTGACCACCAAATGAGGAAGTAGCTAGAAGTGAGGACAGAAGGAGGGCACCCAGGAGGAGACAGGGACCTCTAGTCGTGCCCCCGCCCCCCACTGCCAGCCTGAGCTGGGGCTGGCTAGGAGGAACCTGAGGTTAGGGCACTGGGGGATGGGCCAGTGGCAGGAAGCCCTCCTCCCCCATCCAGGCGTCACACTCCACAGCTACCAGGGCCTGGTCTTAGGGGAGAAAAGGGGAAACTGGATGCTGGTCATGGGACAGACTCTGAGTGGCGCTTGGTGGTGGGCGGATTTGGAAGCCAGAGGAGAGTCAGGGCCCAGTCGGAGGTAGCACAGGCTGGTAACAGCCACCCTCGCCCAGGCCTGGCTGAGTCCAGTTGCTAAAGAACCAACAACCCCTCCACTACCACCACCGGGTCTGCAGTGAGCACGGAGAGACCGGGCCCTGGAGGCCCCACTGGCAGCACACCAGGCCTCAAGGTGGCTGAAGCCGAGTGAGCCACGGGGCAGTCAGAGATCAGAGGAAGCTCTGAGGCTGGAGGGTCTTGATCTGACTCAGGTGCCCGGGAGGGAGCACACTGACACTGTGGGGGGGCAGGGAGCGGAGCAAGGGCCAGTTTATGTGAAGATTCTGTGAGGTCCATCAGAGTGATGTCTCTGTATAAGCTCAGTGAATATGAATCACTACCCTCATCATTATTGTTATTGTTATTAGTACTAAAAGTCTCCAGTTCTGGGCTCACCTTGATAAAAATCCTCCCTCTATCCCTCAGACTCAGCCTCCCAATCTGGTCCTCCCAACGCCAGCCAGGCCTGAGTTCAGTCTCATAGCCAGCACACTGGTGCACCAACCAATCAGGGAGCTGCAGCCAACCAGCTGGGTCTGAGACCTGGAGCACCCCCCCTTTTAATTGCCGTGATGTGGGGAAGGCTGAGGTATCCCAAGGGAATGCGGGTATCTGTAGGGGGGGGGCTAGAGGCTCTTTACCAACCAGAAATGAAGTATTTAAATATTTTAGCAACTGGTATGACTATACTGGTGCAGACCACAGAATGTTGGCCTGGCCTGGTCGGCCTGGACCGTCTCTGGGCGGATTAGCCATTGGGTGAAAGAAGGCTGAGATGGAGGGCACCCAGCTGACTGGGAGCCACCCCTCACACAGCCCAGGCTCCAGGAAGTAGGGCTGCTTCACCCTCCCATGAGATCCACAAAGTGTCTCAATCTCTCCTGGCCGCAGCCCAAGAGTTGGGCAAGGCCCCAGCTGACGTTGCCAGAAGGCAGGCAATGTGTTGCGCCTGTGACAAGCTTGTCTGTGGAAGCTCCAGCTCCTCCCTACTCTCCCTGCTTCTACTTCTGCCCCCTATAGTCCATCCTCCCCCCCCAGCAGCCAGAGGAGGTTCTTGGAAAAGCCAGAGAACCAATTTTGTAAATGGCCCCACATTTTGAAAGGCTCACAAAAGAGACCTGAGTGGCCAACAAGCGTGTGAAAAGGCACTTAACATCATCAGCCATTAGGGAAATATGGATTTAAACCACAGTGAAATACCACTACACACCCACTGGAATGACTGTCTTAAAAAGACTGACCATCTCAGGTGTCAGCAGCGAGGTGGAGCGATTGGAAATCTCACACTGCCGGTAGAAATGAAGAATAGAGCCAACACGTTGGGAAAGAGTTGGGTAGTTTCTTAGAAAGGTAAATATTCACCGACGCAGAGATCCAGCAGCTCCACAGAACAGGCATCCTGACCAAGAGAAATACAAGCATGCATTAACATAAAGACCTGCCCATCTTTCTGCCCTCCCCACCTCCCCCTCTTTCCCTCGCTTCCCTTACTCTAGCTACACTGGCCGTCTTGCTGCTTCTTGTTTAAGTCAAGTTCCTTCTCACCCCAGGACCTTTATACCTGCCGTTCCCCCTGCCTATGATGCTTTCCCCCAAAGTCCATGTAGAACTGGACCTTTCCCATCCTCCAGATCTCAGCTCAAATGTCACACCCTCACGGAGGCCTCTCCTGACCACCACTGCTCAAGTCGCCTCCCACCACCAGTTTCGTTTTCTTCCTATATTTATCATACCTGAAATCCTCTGAATTGTGTGTTCCCATTTATACTGTCTGCTACTTCCTCTAGAATGGAAATTCCATGAGAACAGGAGCCTTTCTGCCTTGTTCACTGTCGTATCCCCAGCACATATAGTAGAGGCTCAGTAAATACTCTTTCAATATTGGACTAAATGGCCACCAGTAACAGGTTGCATTAAGCATGGCTCTTCATCTCTGCAGAGGTCTAGGGGTATCCCAGACATGGCCACCATTTCTTCTTGGATTAATCACTTGGCCGATAAGAATGCTAGTGTCCCCAAGTATCCCCCTGCTCCTTCTTCCAAGAGGTTTTTAGCAGGGCATCTGCCCACCAAACCAAAGACTGTATTTTCTGGCCTCGTTTGCATCTAGAGTGGCCATATAACTTCCTCCTGGCTGATGGGCAGTGTGGGAAGTAAATGAACAATTTAGAAGTCCTAGCCTTGGTGGAGGGTGCACTCTACTCCTCTTCTGGATTTTCTCATTTGCTGGAATTTGAATGTGGGAATCTTGGAATAAACAGATGAGAGCAACATCATAAAAATGAAAGAGCAAGAAGACAGAAGGAGCCTCAGTGCCCATCATCTTGGAGGATCCACACCAACCCTGGACTTTTAGGTGACGGAGGAAGGTCTACCTTGTTTAAAGACACTCATGGCAGGTGGTCTCCAAAGATGGTCACCAAGAATTTCTTCCTCCCAGTATGCACATCCCAACTCTCTCATCCAGAGGTAGAGACTCCAGTTTCCTTGTCCTTGAATCTGAGCTGACCTTGTGACTTGCTTTGACAAAGAACATGGTAGAAAGTATGCTGAGCCAGTTCTGAGCTTAGGTCTTAAGAAGACTTGTAGCTTCTGGTTTTACTCTCTTGGAATCCAGCTGCCAAGCTATAAGGAAGTCCAAACTCCCTTCCTGGGGAATAAGACCGCACAAAGAGGCCCTAGAGGATGAGACAGTATGTGGAGAGAAAGGCCACATGGAGGAAAACCAAGGCACCCCAGCCCATAGCAAGTGCCAAGGTCCCAGGCAGGTGAAAGAACTCATCTGGATCTTTCATGCCATGCCAGCCACCAGACAAATGCAGCCACTTGAGTGACCCCAGGCAACACCAAGTGGAGCAGAAGAATCACCCAGTCAGCTCAAAGAATCATGAGAAATAATAAATCATTGTTGCTTTAAGCCACTATGTTTTTGTCTGTTTAGTCTGTTACAAAGCAATTAACAATGATAGATTAATTTTTTCTAATTTTTAAAACATATTTTATTTATTTATTTGAGAGAGAAAGAGAGAGAGCATGAGTAGGGGAAGGCAGAAGGGCAGAGGAAGAAATAGACTCCCCATTGAGTAGGGAGCCTGATGTGGGGATCAATCCCAGGACCCTGAGATCATGACCTGACCCAAAGTCAAGAGTCAGATGATTAACTGATTGGGCTACCCAGGTGCCCCAAAGCAATAGACAATGGAAATAGCACTGTTATTTGGGGGGCTTTGTTACAACAGCCGGATCTATATTCTACTGGATCTAGTTTCAGATGCCCAGCCTGAACTAGCTGAAGTTCAAGAATGAATTTGTAAAGATTTGGAGGTTAATGCTACACATGCTCTAAGGAAAAGATGAGCACCCAACCACCAGAGGAAAGGGGATGATGGAACTTTGGACAGATCCAGACTGACTCTGAGACTCTCGCTTGCTTCTGCTCCTCTCTGAACCAGTCTTGTTCAGCCCTCTCTATTCCGTATGGAGCTGCAGAGTTTCTGTCATCAATAGCTCACTCTTGCTGAGCCCATGATTTAAAAAGAAAAGAGGGTGCCTAGGTGGCTCAGTCGGTTAAAGTCATGATCTTGGAGTCCTGGGATCGAGCCCTGTAGATCGCTCCCCACTCAGGGGGGAGTCAGCTTCTCCCTCTCCCTCTGCCCCTTCCCCTCTGCTCCATACTCATGCTCCTTCTCTCTAACAAA